CAATATGTTTGTCATTTTCATCATTTTCATTATAATCTGATATATCCGGCTCTTTATTTTTAATAATTTCAATTGATTCTTCTGATACGAGTTCTAAATATAATTCTTGTATAAATTTTTGCATCTCAATTCGGCTATCCTTCTGAATTAAATTGTTTTTAGTTTCAGTCACATGAGGGTGAGACCTGGGGTCACAGAGTTGATGCTCAGTCATAATATTTATTTCAGAAGAAATAATACTTTGTGCCTAGTTATGACTTGGGTAGATGACTATATAATCATATGAAACTTTTGTTTCTTCAGACTGTATCAGCACTGATTTGCTGTTTTGCTCAAGTGGGACTTTCAGTCTTACTTTTTCACTACATAATTCTTCAACTGATATAGAGGATAATTCTTGTTCCCGAAGTTTCTTCTTCCTAATTTTCTGAATTATCTCTTTACTAACCTTTTCTTTATATGTCAAATCCAGGAATTTATTGACTGCCTTATCTTCTAATGATTTACTCTCTTTGTGAATAGATAACACAAGATATTGGGATGAAGACTCATGACATATATCAGGATTTGAAGTATTATCAAATATATTATCAGAATTAATTTTGATCTGTTTAGGTGTATCATTGGAATTCGTTTTATGAGAGGCATTAGCTGTACTACTGATATTAACTAAAGATTGTTTTTTTGGAATGAATATATCTATCTGTTCAGTCTTCCCAGTATCCTTACTCCGTGAGTCATTTTGTGATAGCTTTTGTTCTAATTTTGCAACTCAGAATCTAAGCTCAATATTTTCTCTTGCAGATCATTCTAATTCCACAATTCTAACCTCAAGCTCATTTTTTTCTTTCATGATCTGTTCCAATTCTGCAATTCTAGCTATAAGTCTGGCATTCTCCTGCTTCAATAAATCTAGTTCAGATTTGGAGTTTCTTATTGTTTTATATAAGATATAGATATGTTCAAAAGTTTATATTTGTATTTTTTATTTATATTTTTTTATTTGTATATTGTTGTTCATTTGGGCAACAATTTTTATGAAATAAAGAGGGAGTCTGGTGACTTCGCCATTTTAACGTGATCATGTAAATCAACACTATCCATAACTTTATTAAATTAATAATTTTCAGAGCCGTCTCAGAAAATTGCCAAGAAAAATTTTTGATATGCAGGTAATATACATTGATAATAATATAATAAAATAAATTTACGAAATATACATACAAGATTTAACTGATTATGTATGCAAATTGACTACCAGAGCCAGCTTTATTGATAATTGCCAAATCAAATTCTAATATAGCAATAATACAAAAATGTATTTTTTTTTATTAATAAATTAACAAATATTAGATTACATTCATCTATACTAAACTTAATTAATTTACTCTTAATAAATTTCAATATTCATTTTGATCTTATAATAAATTTGTTGCTTGAAGTGTCTTATTCAACAAATTAGTATTATGGTTTTTTGTGACTAGTTTCTTATTTTCAGCACTATCCGGTTATTCAATATCAGCATAGTTCATAAAGTGAGAATAACATGCGAAACCAACCTCTCTAGACCATTCAAAATCGATCAATTTTACATCAAAATTATTATTCGTAAGTTGACAAACTAGGATATTTCCTTCATGCAAGTCTCCATGTATATGTCCTGCATCATGCAAATATCTAACAATTTCTTTGATCTTCTTTCTTAAATGATTTTGTTCATTAATAGAAGCGAAGTAATTTAATGTTAAATAATCTTCCAAGTATTTCATATAAACCATAAGCCAATTTTCTGGAATAATTAAACTAGTGAGAACTTTTGAAGCATATCTAGCTTCTACTAATAGCTGATGTGTATTAAGTAAATGTTTATCCTTTTGAACAATCTTTACACAAGCTCTTTTAGGTTTAGGTAGCCTTTGTTCGTTATAGAATGTTACTACCCAAAGAAGGTAATCATCAATTTTGCAATCAATTTCAATGTTATAACATTCATTGTTAATAATAATATTGGGAAATGATAAGAATGATGGATCTTTAGAGTGGGTTTGAACTAGGTTTCCAACTTGATTATAGTCTTGATAAAGAATTTTGAGAGATTTTTTCAAAGCACGAAATATTCTAGAAATTGATAGTATCATTTTATCATGTTTCTGCCAAATAAGGGGAAAAACTAGGATAAGCGAGTCTATAATTGCAATATCTGCAAGTATGGTACTGAAAACGGAAAAATAAGGCTCTAAAGTGCAATCAAAGTCAATCAAAATCAATTGAAAAAAAATATCAAACTGAAATTATAATACCTGCAATTGTAACTAAAAAGCATAGAAGATTAGTTACATAAGATGAAGGGCTATTTGAGCTACTATTTGCTTGTTTGTTGCAGAAAACTAAATAATAGCTACAATTTTCTAAATAAGGAGAAGTATTGAAGCAACAGTCATCACTTTTATACTCCAAGTTAGCTACACGGTGCTTAGAAAAGGACACTATGCTGTTAGTACATATATCTTTTAAATTACTATCAAAAACTTTGCATTTAATTATAAGTAACTCTTCTGGATAACTGAGATATTCTTCTAGCATTTCATTTGCCTTATCTTGGCGTTTTCCTCTTTATCATAATATTTAGCTATTGCATAACAAATATCATAGGTAAATTGATTGTCTTCCCTTTTTGGATCTTCTATACAAAATTCTTTAAATTTACTAAAAATAGAACTATATAAGCTGATTAGTATAGTGCTAGAAGCCTCTGGTGAATGATGATTAAGACAGATATGTTTATTAGTAGGATTAATTTCTGATATTTAAACTATTCTTTAGGAATTTCAAGAGTCGATGGTGCTGACAAACTATTTATCATTTCTGTATATAATCTTTTAACACCTATAAAGCAAGATGGCATAAGTTCAGTTGTTTGCTATCTGCTGATAGTTGAAATATCGTACCTTTTTTTACGCTAAGAATTTTAACTAGATTATTAGCCGAGCACTTGTGTTTTTCAATAAAATCAACAAAATTTTTTTTTGACCAGCTAAAATCTATGTTATTATTGCTAATAACAAACTTATAATCTATCAGTGAACCCTTAAGACCAAAAGTTTTTTCCAAATGGTCTGGTGATCTTAGTGTAGTGGTTAGGTTGCCAGACCGCTATACAAGAGGTCTGGAGTTCAAATCCCACTGTTGACGAATTTGAATAATTACTTGGACCTTTGTACCCAACTTACGGTAAACTCTGCCTGTTTCTGGGGGTTACAACCCTGTAAATCACATTGCACCAATATCAATCGGATATTGGAAGTATGACGCAATGCTCGAGTTATGTTACACGAATAAATCTTGATAGGATCTATGGGCAGAGGACCTGCATGGTAAAAATCCTGAGTTTAGTAAAGTAGTACGGATTTCAACGATCAAGCCAGTTAATGCCTGATCTAATGAAAAAACCTGAGTACAAAGGATATGAGATCGATAGGTGCAAGTAAGTCTACTGTGTAATACAGCCTGGTGCCTTGCATTAGCGGCAACACCAACTTGGCTTAGTAGCTAACTAGATTGGGAGGATCTACCTCGTGAAACATCTAGCTGAAACTTGGAGGACTATATCTGATGGACAGCTACAGCAGGAACTGGGTTTGTATGAACATCAACAAGGGTCTAATCTCGGTGAATCTGTGAAATGGGCACATGACCACTCTAGTAGGAATTATTTCTGAGGTTAACTGGAGCTCTGCAGCTCACAATATGTTGGGTATACGTATCCTGAGAGGACCTAAGCTGTGCAGAGAAATAGATCTGCGGGTGAACTAGCTGGTGTCAGCAGTTGGTTATAGTGGTGACGTTAGTTTGGGATAGAGGGAAGGGTTAATGATCAGAGTGTTTAAATAGGTAACTCACAGGCAGGTTGCAGGTATAGCAACATAGTGTAAAACCAACAGATGGTCGATCGTCTGTATGGCAGACTACTTAAATTAGACAATAACTAAAGTTGTACATGTAGCTTGTTATACACTCATCATGTAACTGTAAAACCTTAGAAAACTATTCATGTGATAGTTCCATAATAACAAACTAATAAAAATCT